CCGGTGAGATTTGAACAGCCGAACTGCAGAACTGCAGTCAGCTGAAGTAGCCTGCAGTGCTGCATTTAACCACTGCGCCACCTCGGCTCTATAAAGGTTAAAGTGGTTTTGAATCTACAAATGCAAAGGAATTAAGGATAATTCTTCAACTTTGAGAATTATGTTATGTTGGAAATGTACAGACAATGCAACAGAGTTAGCGTCTCAGGATTTGTTACCTTTGAAACGATTCAATACAGCAGCCCCCCTCCCCCTCCCCCGGCCCGGTTTTGCTAACTCTGTCTTTAACTTGTATTTGTATGTAAATCAGAACGCATACTTACAAATGAACTGCCTGCTATTAAAAATGTCAACTGGGATTGTCCTTTTGCAAGCCAGCAAACCACTGAAGCCCCCCAATGTTTTCAGGAACCATTGAAAATAGGCCGCATATTAAAAACACACAGCTTGAGCAGTTCCTGAAAGTTCATCACCTTGAGAAACAAGAATGCCACCCACCATTTTTAGTAATAGGCAGCTCAGTTGTAATTAGGGGTTGAGCTTAAATCAGACTTTCTTAACTTGGAGATTGATTGTATTTCCTTGTTCTATAAAGCTGCTGACCACACACCTCTACTTGAATGGAATTGTCTATGAATGGAATTGTCTATTGATTTGACTCTAAGCCACTCATAGCATAACACCATTTCTTGATTAAAAACTGATAACGTTTCTATAAAGTTATTTTAACGCCACTAATTTTATAAAGTGTAGTGAGAAATTTTAGTGTGTCCACTGCTCTTATATAGGACATATGTGTGTATGTATGAGAATGAGAATGAATTTGATGGATGATTGTTGTTTTAAATTGTATTGTTTTTTATGCTTTTTATATTTTGTTTGTAAGCCGCCTGGATTCCTTTGGGATTGGGCGGCATATAAAAGTTTTAAATAAATAAAATAAATAAATAAAATGTATGCCATGCTCTCCCCCTGCACAAACTATGTGCTATATAGAAAATACTATATAAATTACTTCTACTTTTTGACATACAAGGGCAACTAGACCAACACTTTGGCCTGTGGCATAGACCCACTATTTCACCATACAGTGAAGTGTCTGAATCAAACCTTTGTTCTATAAATATGAATAGGAAGAGTATAATCAATTAACATAAATTGTAATGGCATGTGGGAAAGACCTTGGGAGAGAGGATGATGATGTCAAGGGAATGGTCAGATAAAAGGGAGCTTAGTCCACAGCTGCAGAGTGGGTGGGATAAGAAAGAGACTCCCCCTAACTTCTCAGGATGTACTTTCAGACTAGCAAGATTCTGTTAATGCAGCTTTACAATAAAGTAGAATTAGCTCATCTGGTAATGATTCCTATCTGGTTAATCCAGTAAGGCCGACAGCAATACAGTGTTAAGATAAAGGCAAAGGTTTCTCCTGCCCAGTTCTGTCTGACTCTAGGAGGTGGTGCTCATCTCCACTTCTTAGCTGAGGGAGCCAACATTTCCAAAGAAGTTTCCCTGGTCTTGTGGCAGCATCACTATACACCAAGGCACAGAGAACGCTATTTCCTTCCCGCCAAAGTGGTATAAGTATAAGTAAGTATAATCTTTATTGTCATTGTACTTAAATACAATGAAATTGGTACCTATTTATCTACTTGCATTACATGCTTTGAAACTGCTAGGTTGGCAAACGTTGGAGCACGTTAGCATCATGCTGGGCTGTTGACTTTAAACGCCTCAGCATCTTTAAACGCTGAGCATCCCCCTCAGTGATGGTATCCCCTACAGTGTTAAATATGTGCTATTAGTTTATATGCAATAAACCCAAGTCACTAATGAATTTTCCATGAGTACAGTTCCTTGATATCATTCACAGCTCCAGAATGAAGCCAGCCAAAAAAAACGAAACTCCCAACCGTCCAAGCCTTGACCCCAATTCAATTAATTGTATAATTAAATTCACATGTGCATTTTCTTGTCTCATTTTCTAAATGACCCATGTTCTGGCCAGGGCGCTACAAATAACTGAACCAAGTATTTAATGTAAGTTGAAAAATAAAATAAAAACTTGGTTGCTTAAGTTTCAAATCTACAGAGGCATATCTGAAAACAGAAACACTGAGGGAGTTGTGCCATTTCACCCGGGCACAAAAATATTTAATTACTCCAATCTGACATGGAAATGTGATGGAAATCCCTCTGCAGATCTTAAATCAAAAACAAGGTTCTCCAGAGAAACAGCAGCAATATTACACTTGCAGATGGGAGCCAAATGGCCACCTCTTTAATGTCTATGCAATTGAGATCACAAATTGAAAACATCAATTGAAATCAACCCCTATCCATCTTCCCAACCAATACAGCTAAGATGAGGAAAGAGAATGCCTAAAGACATAACTCAAGAAGCATATTGATGTATCCTGTCTCATGGCCCCCTCCTATGAATATGGGCTGACATGATAGCAGTTTTCCAATGTGTATGGGGCTGCCACAAAGAAGAATGGGTCAAGATAGTCTCCAAAGCACCTGAAAGCAGGACAAGAAGCAATGGTGGAAACTAATAAAGGAGGGAAGCAACTTAGAACCGAGGAGAAATTTCCTGACAGAACAATTACCGTATTTTTGGAGTATAAGACGCACCTTTTTCCCTCAAAAAAGAGGGTGAAAATCTGGGTGCGTCTTATACACTGAACACAAGCATTTTGGCCTCCCCAAACCCCTCCCCCTTCACCAAAATGGTTGTGCATAGCCTTTAGGAGACTCCTAGAGTGCTCCTGGGGGTTGGGGAGGGCAAAAATGAGCGGAAAATGGGCTGTTTTTTGCTCATTCCCACCCCCCAGCCCCCAGGAGCACTCTATAAGCCTCCTAAAGGCTATGCATGTCCTTTGTAAAACAAAAAACACGTCGTTTTTGGGAGGTCTGCAGAGTGCAAAAACTTTTTCTTTTAATTTGCCTCTTCAAAATCTTGTTGCGACTTATACTCTGATGCATCTTATACTCAGAAAAATACGGTAATCAGTGGAACAACTTGCCTCCAGAAGTTGTGGGTGCTCCAACACTCTTTTAAGAAGAGATTGGACAACCATTTGTCTAAAATCCTGAGCAGAGGATTGGAGTAGAAGACTTCCAAGGTCCCTTCCAATTCTGTTATTCTGAATGAGACATCATCTATCCTAGACACAAACTGTTGCCATTAAGACATTTAGTAAAAAAGACAAAGGACACTTCCTTCAAAACTAGAGGCGTGAAACAATTCTTTGGAACAGATGTTACAAAAGGTTTTCGAAGTTTAGCTGACACAACCTTTAATCATAGATTGGCCACTGTGATGACTATGGCCTGAAGCTGTTCCTACTCAGAATGTATTTCCACACAAAAACGTTGCCTAATCCTATGCCTTTTGGGTGCACTGGAGGCTACATTTCCCAGAATGTTCAGTCAATATAGCTGATTATGTGGAAGAAGTTTGCCCCACAAATGGCATCAGTTTTGGATGCATCCGGTCATGAATGCTTATATTTTAGAGAAAATACTAGTGAGATGGCTTCTCACCATCATATCTAGAACCTAGGATGCCCAGTCAACATTTCCTTTTTTGCTTTCCCAGATAGGCATATTTTCAAATAAAGGCTTGCCTTGTGATCACAAAGCATTTTTATTTCTTTAGGAAGAAAGTAAGCAGAAAACTATTCTCAGCAGTAGTTTCTTTAATGTATTAAATATAAATTTTAAGAGGCTCACAATTTGCCACATACTTTTAGGTTGAAAATAGGCTTGTTTGCCCGTTTTCTGTATTAATAATAGTTTAAATGAAATCTGGGAATGGATATTCAATTTTATTAATACTCTCCAACTCAACACCATTGCTAGTCAAAAAAAATACAAGAAAGAAGTCTTCCTCAAATCAGGAAGCTTGTCTGTCAGGAACTTCTAATTTAATGATGGCGCTCAAATACAGGAAGTTCTTGACTTCTGATCATAATGGAGCCTGGGATTTCCATCATAAACCATGACAGTCGTTAATCAAAGCATCCATATGACCAGACCCTAACGGGCTGCCCTAAAGCAGCTCCTACAAGACAGTTAAACGGTAGACTTTCGCGACGTGCGAATGGCTTTACGCTGAGCCATTCTGTAGAATTCACGGACACGCTAATTTTCTTAGCACCAGCACCCCTCACACACAACTCTTTTGCTTGATGACAGAGTCAAAAACTGGACATGCTCAGTAGGAGGAGGCGCGGCCAAGTATCTGATTGAAGCGGAAGAGGAGTCTACACCCACATAATTGGATTATCCTTCCAGCACACTGGTGAATCAATGTATTCCTATGGGCGAGGTTGAAGGAGACTTTTAAGTAGAATAGTTTGCCTCTCGGCAGCATTTCCACTTTTATTTTAGAAAGAGAAAAGAAATCACACAAAAATCTGGCTGTTGGCCATCAGATCTCAATGGTGCAATCTTGGAATGGGCCATACAAAGTCCAAAAGCTGTCAATCTTTTTCAAGGATAGACAGCATGGAACGGAACTGGGATCAAAGCACTGGTGGGATTCAAATAATTTAACAACCGGTTCTCTGCCCTAATGGCCAGCTGGGTAGGCGGGGCACAGTGGTCACGTGACTGGCTGGGTGTGGCCAACTCAACATCACTCCCGTCGATGGGTGCTTTGCCTTAGCTCTTACAATGTAATCAGGGTTAACCGGAGAGACAGTTTTTGTAAGCAGGTCAGAATGTTTCCTTCCTGCCTTCCTTACAGGATTAGCCCTGTAAAGTGGGGGAAAACAAAAGGAGATTTCTTCCAACAACTGGTTCTCCAATCTGCCTGGAAAGTTACCAACCAGTTCTCCCGAATAGGTGCGAACCAGCTGAATCCCACCACTGGATCAAAGTATCGATGGCCTCTGTGACAGAAATCAAATCATGTTAGTGAGATCGATTTGTTTTCATTACTGCACCTTTTCAAGTCTTTCTACCATCTTCATGTGCATTCTTTCAAATGACAAAATTAATGTAAACCTTCACTGATAATTGAAATCCAAGCAAGCAGCCTACTATAAATAGAGCACAAGGGCACAGGAGACAGGCTATCTTGGGCAGCAATATTTCATTCAACAAATGTCTTTATCTGATTTAACTACAGTCAGAGGGTGGCAGCACAACTTCGGTGACATTTTTAAGACTGATCTGGCAGGAAAGAGCTCCATCAAGCACTCACCTGGTAGATATACGGCTGAACACCGCGTTAAAATTGTTGCAGCTGAGAGAAAAGAGAACCCCAGAGGCGGAATTGCGTAGCTCTGTAGCATGTTGATTCCCTTCACGGTAGGTGTGGATGAAATGGCAGATCTCTGGCAACAGTTGCTTGACCAACATTGTCTCATCCAGCCGCATGGTGTCTTTGGGTTGCTGGAAGACAAAAGTTGAGATGGAATTGCCTTGAGGTGTTTCCACAGCTATGATACTCCAGAGACCAAGGAAGTGTCCTTGACTCATTAGGCATCCAAGTATTTCAGGGTCTCCAACCGTGGCAACTTTAAGCCTGGTGAACTTCAACTCTGGGAGTTGAACTCCACTAGGCTTAAAGTTGCCAAGGTTGGAGACCCCTGAAATATTTTTCTGTAAGAAAACTACAGAAATGTTCAAGAGCACAGCTGCTTAAAACCTTCACTCTTCCAGTTATTTACCCCAACTGTGTGTACTTCTAGGACCCAATTGAGAATGTGTCTGTTAATCATGTGGTGCAGCCATGTTAACTGCCTTTCCGCACACCACAAAAGAGGACAAAACCTCAATACTTCTCATAGAGGATGTAAGTGGGTGAAAACTGGAAGTGATACAGAGACAGTTTCTAGAGAGGATTCTAGGAATAGGTCATTCAAGTCTCCAGTCAGCTGTTTCAATGACACAGCTAATTAATTCATTTGCTTACTTACAGGAAAGAGAGTTTGTACACTGTTTCAATCGAGGGGGATTGATTGGGAGAAATATTTTAATCACACAGGCCTATGGAGATTTTCAACCATCCAGATCATGGTTGTCTCAAAGGTGCTGTTTAAAAGGCAACTGGACTTAAACAGAGGGATAGAGTCAGGATCACGTGAAATGTTAATACCACTTTATAAGGCCTTGGTAAGGCCATACTTGGAATATTCAGTTTTGGTCGCCATGAGGTAAAAAAGATGTTGAAACTCTAGAAATAGTGCAGAGAAGAGCAACAAAGAGGATTAGGAGACTGGAGGCTAAAACATATGAAGAACGGTTGCAGGAACTGGGGAGGTCTAGTTTAATGAAAAGAAGCACCTGAGGGTAGGACAAGAAGCAATGGGTGGAAACTTATCAAGGAGAGAAGGACTAAAGAGAAATTTCCTGACAGTTAGAACAATTAATCAGTAGAACAACTTGCCTCCAGAAGTTGTAAACCCTCCAACAATGGAAGTTTTTAAAAAGATGTTGGAGAACCATTTGTCTGAAGTGGTGTAGGGTTTCCTGCCTAAGCAGGGGGTTGGACTAGAAGACCTGCAAGATCCTTTCCAACTCTTATTCTATTCTACTTTCTTGAGGTTTTTTTTTCCTTGAAAGCATTCCACAAAGCTTCTTGGACTTGAAGCAAAACATTTTCAAGGGGGGGGGGGGAAATCCCCAAGAAAATCCAGTTGCCTTTTCAACAGCACCTTTCAGTTAATTGCAAACACAGCTGGAGCTATCTGAAGATAAATCTAAATTAAGATTAGTTGACTGTCTCAACTGACCTTGTTTCTTTATTCACAGAGTGCACTGGCCACATCCGGCAGGCACCAATTAAGCATGATCTATGAACAAGGCCACCTTATGTCTCAAATATTGGGAAATGTCTTAGTTAATTGTGGAAAAACACAGTACATCGGCCACCCTCACAGTCAGGCTAATTTGCTGTAGGGATAGATGCTGTCTCTTAAAAAAAAAAATTCAGACAGCTGAGGAAAGCAAAATAAGACACTGTGTAATCCTTTTAACATGCCATTCCACTGTAGAGAAAACTGTACATTTATCCTCATAAGGACTATTCTACAGCAGAGGTGTCAAACTCGCAGCCCCAGAGCCAGATGAGTCATGCGCTGGCCACGCCCATGCCCAGTTTAGCAAAGGGGGGAAAAGTCGCGATATGTCCCATGACAACTTGAGTTTGTCACCCCTGTTCTACAGCAGACTGGGCTAAGATGGAATCAGCTATCAATGTATTAGAAGACACTTAATCATTTCCTTAGCATACTATGCAGGGGTGGGCTTCAAAAATTGCAGCAACGGGTTTCTTTCTGGACTTCCGGAACTTCCGGTAGGACTGTTTTTTGCCCTCCCCAGACTTTGGAAACTTTCCTCAAGCCTCCTGGAGGGCGAAAACTGCTTCCCCCCCAAGGCTCCGGAGCCCGGAAAGAGGCCCGTTTCCAGACTTCCGGAACCGCCAATAGGCATGTTTTCTCCTTCTCCGAGCCTCTGCGCGGGTCCTGCACTTACCTGGCCTGATGAACGGACCATGTGGAGACTCCTGGGAGTGGACGGGTGGGCGTAGCCAGCCAGGGGTGGCATTTGGGGGTTCACCGAACTGGGAAGAATCCTAGCTAGAGGATCACCCGAACTTGTGCGAACCCCCAGCAACCCACCCCTAATCCTATGTGAACCAGACTAAGCCAAAACATGGCTATGCTAAGAGGCATAACATCTTATGTGAAAGCAATAGTGATTTTTGTTGACACAGTACGGTACATATTTAGGATTAATAATGTGGTATAGGTTTGTAGGACTCCTCAAGACTATGATCTTAAAAATAGATGTTGTCTCAATTCCTTTTAGATGCTGTTTGTTTACCTAAATTGCACCCCTTCTTTCTAGCTAGCGAAATAGGTAAAATAACAGTATCTGCATACTTTGCAATATATTTGAAAGAAAAAAGGTTGATCAGAAAGGATAACAACAAAATGAAGCATAGTATTTAGAGTAGGACTGGGCAACTATGGCTGTTTAGTGACATTTGGACTTCAACTCCCAGAATTCCTGAGCCAGCCAAAATTGAAATAGTTGACTAACCGATTCAGAACATCTGTTTGCCAGGAGGCATTTCTGCTTCTTGTGGGAGTGCCATACCATGTGCATGAATCATACAAGTGGCAAGAAAATAGGGGCAGTCAGGCATA